GAGACACAGTGAGCTCTTATGCTTTGAAATGTTGATGTTTTGTGGCTTACAGATGATGAAAACTCCAAAACTCAGCATCTCTGAAAATTACAATATGACATGAGATAAAGTTTGAAAAAACTTTTTTGATCTATAAATGTTGCATTGTGGCCTACAGTCATGGGGAAGACTGCTGACTGGACAGATGTCCAGAAGAGGAAAGGACTGTGTCCAAGTTTGTTCATGGAAAGTTGAGTGGAAGGAAAAGATCCATTCAACAATAGATGGAGCTTCAGAATGAGTGGAGTCAGCGAATCAGAAGCAGCTATGTTAGATGGAGCCCTCACATGGACCACCGGTGTCTGTCCTGGGCTCAGAACCAGAACTGGACTGGTCCCAGTGCTCCAGAGTCCTGGTTTCAGATCAAAGTAAACTCTGCATTTCAGGGTGGATTCGACCAGAACCAATGTAGCTTAGTGTTCAGTGTGAAGTCTGTACAGTCAGTGATATTTTAGGTTTCCATGTCATCTGCTGGTTCTGGTCCACTGGGTTTTTTCAGGTTCACAGTCAGCAGCGTCTATTTCAGTGTTTCTCAACCCTGGTCCTCACCGCCCCCCTGCTCTTCATGTTTTAGATGAGCCTCTATTCCAGAACAGCTGATTCTAATGATTGCATGACCATCAAGTACTGCAGAAGCCTGTTAATCACCCAGAGATACAATTCAGGTGTGTGGCTGAAGGGAAATACCTAAAACATGCAGGACAGGGGGGCGGTGAGGACCAGGGTTGAGAAACTCTGGTCTAGCAGGAAGTGGTGGAGCTCTTCCTGCTGGTAGAACCAGCTGCAGCTCCTCTGTTTGCTCCAGCTCAGTCAGGTTGGACTGAGACTATCTGTGATTATCAAGTTTTGCAACGAATTCTCTGTTGGACTTACATCTGAACTTTGACTAGGCCATTCTAATGCATGAATATGCTTGGATATAAACCATTCCAGCTCTGGCTGGAGGTTCAGGGTAAAGGAGAACCTCCACTCCGCTCTCAGGTCCAACTGGGTTTCTTCCAGGATTGTCCTTCATCTCCACGGCATGATGCTGCCACCACTATGTTCAATAGCAGTCTTACCTCCCACACACAAGTTTATTAGAATAACGCACTTCAGCTTTAATGCAATTCAAAGTTCTTTACATGATAAAAATATAAACGATGATGAACAAAAAAAAATTTCTTCACAGGAGCAAAATAAAGAAGTAAATAGTTGAAATCAGACTAGACTTAATTGGTGTTTTATTATTATTAGTGCTATGTTTGTTTCTCTGATTTATAGGAACTCAGTGTTTCGGCTGTTTTGCAGTTATCTGGAAGTTTGCTCCAGATTTACGGTACTTAGAAGCTGAAAACTGCTTCTTTATGTCCAGTCTGTGTAGTTGGGATGGGAAGACACTTTGGATTCACTCAGTTTTATTTGCCGCTGTCAGAATACAAGCGCCCTTTTCAGATTTTTAGCTGTAGAAATATTAGAGAGCCATGTATGGTTTTCCTTCCACATCAGTTACTTGCTGCTTTTTTTTTTTCTCATGTAGCATGTTTACATAAAAACCAGTTTAAGGGTTGTGTTTTGTGGCCCAGACTGAAGTCGGTGTGTTTTTTCTCTTCCCCTGCAGCCGATCCCTTACTGGCTCTACAAACTGCACGGCCTGAACATCAACTACAACTGTGAGATCTGTGGAAACTACACCTACAGAGGACCCAAGGCCTTCCAGAGGCACTTTGCAGTACGTGTTTCCTTCTGTGAAAAGAATTCTTATAAATGATTACAGTAAGATCAAGGTTTTATTTTTTCAGTATTATTTTTTGTCTGTGTAGGAGTGGCGGCATGCACATGGAATGCGCTGCCTAGGAATCCCCAACACGGCTCATTTCGCTAATGTCACACAGATAGAGGACGCCGTCTCCTGTAAGTCCGTTCCTTCAGTCGGTGCCGTGTCCGTCTGTCTGAGACCGGTGTTAACTGCTGATGTGTTTGTGTTCAGTGTGGGCGAAGCTAAAGTCCCAGAAGGCGTCGGAGCGGTGGCAGCCGGACACAGAGGTAAGCACAAAGCCCTCTGGACAGAATGTGATGCAGTCTGATTCCTTCACTCGTGTCCTGCGTTGTGTCCCCTCAGGAGGAGTACGAGGACTCCATTGGAAATGTGGTCAACAAGAAGACGTACGAGGATCTGAAGAGACAGGGCCTGCTGTAGACGGACAGCACGACTCTGAGATGCTTCCTTTTTAAAAAAAATCTATTTACTCCTGTTGTTTTATGTCTTAAGTAGTTCTGTTATTTTCCAGACAACTTTTCTCCAGTTTGTAACATGTGAACCTCTGATGATTTCAATAAACCGAGGACTTTGAGTCCCTGTCATTCCTAAACGTTGTTCTGTCCGGGGAGCCTGATGAACCCCAGGATTCTGATTATGTGTCTCAAAGACAGGCAAAATTTGATTAAATTGTTTTTCAGTTATGTCTTTCTTACCCAACCAAATATGCTAAGATTAGTTCATGTTCCAGCTCTTAATGTTTCATTGGCTCTAAATCAACAATGTCTCTGAAGACAACCAAAGGAGCAAAATGTTACTCTGCAGCTGTTTCCATGTGGCCTCCACAAGGTGGGGCTCTTGTGTTACTGTTACTGTGGACAACAGAAGATATTATGTGATGTCCTACAGTTTAAAGCAGATGTTTGCATACATGGCATGGAAAGAGGCATCTTTTGTTTTACTGTCTGGAGTTAAATCAAATCAGTTATTTTAGTTCAGTTAGACTGACCAGAATTATTTCTATTTGCAAAAATCAAAGAGATGAGAGAAAGATGTCAGATTTATTTATAAATGTCTTCAAGATCAGAGGTTTACATACAGAATGATTACTGTCTCTTTAAGCGACGAGGGAAAGCCCAGATGATGATGTCATGGTTTTGGAAACCACTGATACAGAGATATTAGAATTAATAGGAGGCACACCTGTGGAAGTATTTGAAGGTCTCACCTGGAACTCATTTCTTTCTGGTTTGACATGATGTAGAAGTCAGTAGAAATTAGCCCAGGTACCAGGAAGAGAACCAGGAGCTGATCCAGTCTGGTTCTTCCTTTGGAGTAACCTACAGATGCCTGACCTGACAGCATCATGTTCATCTGTTCAACTGACATGATGGGAATGTCTAACCATCATGGTGCTCAGGAAGGAGATGGGTTCTGTTCCATCCTCATCCATGTATTAAAGGAGACAGAGCTGAGGAGGTGTGTGTGTGTGTGTGTGTGTGTGAGCTCTGGCCGAGTAACACTGGTTCTGTCTGGAAGAATGGCTTGAAACCCCAAACATTCATATTACTTTAAGATACATTACAGTTCTACCAAACCCAGAGGAAATGGATCGAAACTTCTGGCTTTGAAGAAACTTTATTCTGACATTAGCAAACAGAAAAAATGTTGATGATCCTAACTGAGATAAAACAGAAAAGTTTGATCTGATTTAATGCCAGACAATGAGAAGTAAAAGATAAGTCATTTTATACAGTGTATGTACGTATCTGTTTTCAATCAGCTGTGTTGTGTGGTAATGAGTGATGAGGAAACTCAGCAAGGTTACATGGTTCTTAAAATGTGTCGCCGTGTTTAGGGTTGAGCTCCACCAGCTGGAAGAAAGAAGGAACTGACCAGGGAAGCAGACTTTAACCTGCCTACATCTCACTCTCTCAAACTGTGGCTTCCTATCCTCCAACATTAAACTCTTTCAGGTGACAATAAATACAAGTCCTCCAACAGTAAACAGACATTTTAATTGATCATAAAGAAAGTACAAGAAATAACAGTCTTTATTTTAGTAAAATAGGGAAGGAAAAAACAGCTTCTCTTTGTAACTGTACTTTTTTTTAAGTTTACAAAGAAATACTGAGCAGAAAATGTTGGTGAGATAAATCACCAGGCTCAACAGTCAGAAGGAGCTCAAATACTGAGACTCACAGTGATCCTCAAAGCCTCCACCAGGCAGATGAAGCCTTGTTCACATCAGCCACTTGTCCTTCTCCTTGTTGAAGGTCTCGGCCCACTGACGAGTAAGCTGTAAATAATGGTCTGCTTGGTTTGGTAAGTAGTCCAAATATAAACGCGCCATTGTCTTCTTGGGTACAGCCCTTTCTATCTGAGTGCCTTCATGCCATTGGTTGAAGGAAGTGATGGTGACGATTTCTGGTCTGACAGACAGAGCCGCCTGTAGGGAGGTCTCATAGTAACGCCCGTTGACCCGGTTTCTGGTGTTGTGGTTGTTCCACGGTCGCACGGCGGTATCCACGTAGCCCGGACCGACGCTGGGGATAAACAGCAGGTTGTTTGCATCACAGAACTCCTTGATGGCTTTCCAGTTCTGGTGGGAGGAGCCGAATGAGAAACCGTTGGAGGCAAAGTAAGTGTACATGCCGTCAAAGCCGCTGGCTAGGATGTCATGCTTGTGGCGCTCCTCCACAACCAGGGCAACGAAAACACCATCGTAAGGCGTCCCTCTGATGCTCTGTGAGCCTTTTGCTGTCAGGAGCTCCGTCCAGGATTCGGGTGGGGTAAGGTAGGAGTCATAGACATAGAACAGTGGCAGGACTTGCCCTGTGCTAGTCCTGAATCTGTAGAAGGCGCCATGGTTTCCATATCTGAGAAAAACAGAGAGACAAATGGAATTTCATATGAAGGTAGCTTGAAGTTAAATGGTAAATTTTCCAATCATTTTGACCATTCAAAGCACTTCACATTAATATACTGATACACAAGCAAGTTGGGGTTAAGTGCCTTGAGGTGCCTAGGTGTACATCATGTGGCAGTAGAAAGCTAGAATTGAACCTACAACCTTTGATCAAAAGACAAGTACTCTACCCACAGAGTCACAGCCACCCCACTGGTAATACCACTACTCCTATTAATAGTAGTACTACCTCTCCTACTACATATAATGATAATGATATTAGTACTAATAATAATGATGTAACTTTTCACAAACTCTTCTATTGTGGCATCTTGTAACACCATGGTGATATCTGTTGTGTGTTTTTGTACCTCTGACATTGGACTGACATAAGAACCTAATGAACGATTAACTGTCGGCTCTTTTTTCTGCGGTACAAATGTACTTCCCTCTTGAACCTGCACTGACTCTTCGGTAGTTCTTAGTCGTGGTGAAGACACAAAACATCTACAGTCGTCATGATGTCCTACCAGAGCCACAGTTCCAAAAACCTCAATTATTACTCTGTCGGCTCACTGATAGAAAATGAGGAACCATCTATATTTAACCAGCTGCTCCTCATCGTCACCCTGTGGCCTTCACCTTCAGTCCTTTAATGCAGAGCTACACCTGTTGGAGGCAAACCCCACCCACCACATACACATACACTGGGAAGGAGCTTACTTGTCAATAATATATTTGATGTTGTCATGCATGCTCTGGTCCGTCCGTCCCTTGTACGGCTGAATGTGAAAGGCCACCTGTGCACAGAGACAGGAGGATGGATTTTCAGTAAAAGCACCAAGTATAAACGAAAGAACCTGGAGAAGACGGAATGTTTCAAATTTGAAAAATGATCATCTTGGTGAAATTTATTTTAATTGTTGTTATCTGCTAATTGTGTATAGCAGCTTTTAGCTAACTCAAAGCTGCTATACACAAACTGCTATACACTATTTTCCATACTGATATACTGTGTTGTAAATAGTCTTTCTAACTTCAACATAAATTAACATTATGTACACTTTTAAAAAAGTAATCTATCTAAGCTGCACATTCCTGATCATGAGTCAAAACTTCCTCTAATAGCTACACAGTATTTTTATGTGATAACCTTGCACAACATAGCATGATCATTATTCTGGTTGTTATTGTCAATCTTCTTTTGTATATGTTGTTTTAGCAATTTAAGGACATTGTGTCTGAACTAGTATATCTGATGCTGCTGTTACTCCTGAATTTCTCTTTGTGGGATAAGAAAAAATATTTCTATTCTACCATCTGAAAAACAGTAAAAATAGCTGGCCTCCACCTTCAGTCCTTTAATGCAGATCTCTGAAGAGGAATAAATACACACCAGTGTGTAAGCAAACTCAGAATTCCTCATTTTTTCCAAGGAGTAACAGAACCTACGTACCAACTGATCCCCACCCTGGGATCTGTTTACCGTAGTCATATCATACCATAGTAAACTGTTCTTCAATCCAAGATAATGTGGTTCTGAGTGGTAAAAGCCAACACAGGGTCTTTTCTGGGTCAACGGATACATGTCATCACATCACCCCAAACATCTGTTCAGACGTTATGATACACAGAGAACATCAAAACCTTTTCTAATATTCCACCTCCTTGTTGTTTTTGATTCTAAATCAATGTTGTTTTAAGTGTAACTGAAGCTGGAGGCCAGATGTTCTGAACCACTGGTTGAAAGTCTGAGGCTCTCGCTCTGAACAACTGGACCTGCTGGGATCACAGCTGAAGCCAACCAAACCATCCAACTCCCACAAGATCAACAGTGAGGGGACAAGGGAACAGTAGAGGGGCAGTAATAGAAGATATACAGTAAAAATGAAAGAGATGCAAATTAAAAATGGTACGTTTTAAGGCACAAGTGAGTGTGATCAGGATGGATGGAGACATTAAGCAACCGACCTGCAGCTAAAAACGGTTCTACAAAGTAAAGTCGTACATTTCTTTCTTTGCACTTCACAACTCTGGTCTACTTTGTGTTAGTTTATCACATAAAACCCTAATAAAATACAAAGAGATTGGAAGTGTTAATGAGACCAGATGTTAGAAAAGTGTAAGGGGTGTGAATACCATTACAAGACTCTGTGTATCAGAGTCAGCATCAGCCACAAGCTGATCAGAACCAGAGTTCAGCTCAGGATGAATATTTCTGAGGAACAGAACAGAGAAACAGAGAGCCTCCATCCCACAGGGTCAACCGCACACGCACACTGTATACACTCCGTATGTGTGTGTGTGTGTGTGTGTGTGTGTGTGTGTGTGTATATATATATATATATATATATATATATATATATATATAAGAAATAATAATAATAATATATATATATATATATATAAGTAATAATAATGACTCTCAGCCTGTTGGCTTAAGATGCCAGGAGCCTCTAAGTTCTGCTGCAGCTGCAAACAGAGAACATTCACTGCCCACCGCTTCCTCCAACGGAGGTTGCAAGGTCCTCATAAACAGTTTCCATGGTAACACAGCAGAGTTTAGAGCTGGTGCCCAGGCCTGGCAGCTGCTTTACCTGGTGTGAGATCATTAGATCATGATCCTGTTTGGTTGGATGAACAGGTCCAGCTCTCAGGGACATCCAGGCTCCAGCTGGATCCTGTAGTCGTCCAGTAACTTCCTA